TTTCTCAGACAAAGAAGTAAAAGCAGCAAATAAACATATGGAAAAATGTTCAACATCACTGGTCATTCAAGAGATGCAGATGAAAACATCACTGAGATTCCACCTCACCCCTCAAAGAATGGCTGCTATCAAGAAATCAACCAATAACAAATGCTGGTGGGGGTGTAGAGAGAAAGGAACCCTTCTCCACTGTTGGTGGGAGTGCAGACTGGTGCAACCACTGTGGAAATCAGTATGGAAATACCTCAAAGAACTAGGACTAGAGGTCCCTTTTGACCCAGCTATTCCTCTGCTGGGTATCTTCCCAAAAGAATTAAAAGAATCATACCACAGCGATATATGTGCATCCATGTTTATAGTGCACAGTTAGTAATAGCTAAAGCTTGGAAATAGCCCAAGTTCCCATCAACTGGAAACTGGATAAAGAAGATGTGGGTTTTTTATAAAATGGAGTGCTACTCAGCCATAAAGAATGAGAAACTAGACATTTATAGCTAAATGGACACATATTGTCGACATAGTCTTAATTGAAATAAATAGAACACACATGTGTGAATACTGTATAGTTTCTGTCGTGTGAGAAACTGAAAGTGTAAATAAGGATTAAAAATGATTAAAATGAATAACTGATAATTTAAAATAGGAAGAAAAGATCCAAAGAGGTAGGGGAAGTTGGAGGGTAAGGGGAAAGGAAAGAAGGGAAAGGAAAAATTATGAGAAAAGAAAAAATGGACACAAAGTCTATGTAAATAGGGAAGGTTGGAGGGGGGGAAGGGTGCACAGGTAATGGGGAAAAAATAAGAATGAAGATACATCATGTACAGGTACAAGCACCCAATGATAAATGTAAAAGTATTGTATACTTAAAATGTACCAATAAAAGAATTTAAGAAAAAAAAAAGAAAGGTTCCCAGACCCACTTGGCTGACCATTCATACTTGATGAGGCACTTACTAGTGTCTTTGCCATGCCCAGGTCCCTGCTGGTTTCTTCTGCATAGGAACTTACAGCTTTTCTGCACTAAATAGTCCCCATTGACTTGTAAATTCTTTTGAAGCTCTGGGTAGACAGCTGTGTGCCCAAATACTGGCAGTCTTCTTTTCTCCAACCCCATTTCTTTCACTCCTTTTTTGTCTGCCTGGGCCAGGACCTCCATAGAGAACAGAAAACAGAATAGAGGCACCAGCCTGCACTCTCTTCCTGTTCCCATTTCACAGAGGACACATTCTTGGGGAGCCCTGTAAGAGGCAGCTGAGTTCTGATGGCTCCTCTATCAGGATGAAATCCACCCTCCATGCAGCTCTGAGACATAGGTCAATCCTCGCTTTGACTGTGCTCTTCCTCCTCACCCCTCCTAGGAGACCATTTATCTGGTTTCTAAATATAAATTAGTTTATATTTTCCAGAATTCTATAAAAATAAAATCTACTGTATATTCTTTTTTTTCTAGCTTGTTGGAATAATTCTTTTGAGATTGATCCAGTTGTTGCAGGTACCAAAGCCCATTCCCTTTACTTTTTACTACTGAGCAATATTCAATTTTTAAAATATACCATCATGTGTTTGTCCCATCCACTCAAACAGACACTCAAATGACCTTCAAAGAGTTTCTGGACATTTCATTTTAGTGGTTTCCAGACTTGGGCTATTATTCAAAAAGTCACTATGAGCATGTGCATAGAGGTTTTGTGTGGACATGGGCTCCCTTGTCTCTTGGATAAACACTAGGAGTGGAATGGCTGGGTCACATGGTGGGCCTATGTTTAACTTTCTAAGAAACTTCCAAACTGTTTTCCACCATCAGTGTATGTGAGCTTCAGTCTTTGTATCTTTGCCAATACTTGATATGATTGATCTTTTTATTTATTCATTTTATTTAAAAAATTTAAATTTATCAATTCATCTTTTTAAAAAAATGGATAAACACAAACCACATAATTGCTGTGTACAACAGGCTGGTCTGAAACACATGTATAGTGTGGAATGACTACTGAGCCAGCCAAGATACGTGCACCTCACACACCCATGGATTCTTTGTGGTGAACCCACTTAAAATTTACTCTCAGCAGCTTTCAGAAATACATTACCTATTTTTAACCACAGTAAACCATACAATACATTTCTTCAGTTTCCCCAAACTGAAATTTTGTATCCTCTGATCAAGGTCTCTCCAACCTCCTGCCAGCTCCCAGCTCCCAGCTCCTGGTAGCCACCATGTATACTTTACTTCTGTGCTGAATTTTTACGATTCCACGTACGAGTGAGATCATGTGGTATCTATCTGTGCCCACTTATTTAACTCATCATAATGTCCTCCATATTCATCCATGTGGTCTCAGAGACAAGATTTCCTTAAATTTTTCTTTTCTTTTTTTCTTTTTTTTGTACTGGGAGTTGAACTCAGGACCTTGAGCTTGCCAGGCAGGTGTGGGGCCACTGAGCTAAATCCCCGGCCCCCCAAATATCTTTCTTTCTTTCTTTCTTTTTTTTTTTTTGGTACTGGGGATTGAACTCAGGTCCTTGCACCTGTGCAGCAGGCGGCAAAACCACTGAGCTAAATCCCTGGGCCCCAAACTTTCATTTTTAACAAAAAATATCACAGTGTTAGGGATTGGACCCAAGGTCTTGTGCATGCTAGGTATACCCTCTACTAACTGAGCTATATCCCTAGCCCAATTTTGTCTTTTTCATGACTGAATGGTAGGGGTGATCAAAAACATAGTAAATATTTACACTTTTAAAAATGTTATTACATTTTTTAAAAGACACATTGCCAAGAATGATGGGATAAGTATGTCTGAAGTAACGGGGAGTATTTTGAGGGGGAATTGATGGCAGCATATCTTTAACTGTAATCATTTTTATTCATTGTATTTTTTGATGGCCCCATTGATCAACATTTGTGGCAATTTCTGTCAAATAGAAACATTATGGCATTTCTCATCTTTATTCATTGGTTCTAGTACAATGTGACTTCTGGCTCTTCCCCAAAGTTAAAAGATAAACATTTTGAATTGGTTCCAGACATCCGGGTAGCCATGAAAGTGCAACTAAAGACACTTGTGAAAGAGGACTTCCAGAATTGCTTCAGAAAGTGGCAAGGACAATGGGATAAGTGTGTTGGAGGTAAGGGGGAGGATTCTGAGGCAGATTAATGACAATATGCCTTTTATTGTAATATTTTTTTAAAAAATTGTAAATATTCACCATATTTTTCAATCACAGCTTTACCTCATTTTGTATATGTGTCATCTTTTCTTTACCCATTCATTCATCAATGGGCACTTAAGTTGATTCTGTTTGTTGGTTGTTGTGAGTAATACTGCAATAAATACAGGTGTTTGGATGTCTCTTCAACATATTGATGAGGATTTCCTTTGGATGTTTATCTACTGAATATACTCACTGTTTCCCAAGGTGGTTCAGCCATTTATCACTCCCTTGGTGGTACATGAAGACATGATTTCTCTACATCTTTGCCAGCACTTGGTATGGTCAGTCTTTTTAATTTTAGCCATTCTAAACAGTGTGTGGTAGTATAACACTGTGGTTTCAATATGTTTCTCTAATGATTAATGACACTGAACATTAAAGGAATATTTACAACTCTATTTTATCCTCTTCAGTGGTATATTAGCTATAAACTCTTAGGAGTTTTTGTTTTTTGTTTTGGTACTGGGAATCAAACTTGGGACCTTGCACTTGCAAAGCAGGCAGTGGAACCACTGAGCTAAATCTCCAGCCCTAGGATTTTTAAAAATTTGTTTGTTTTTAATGGTTGCTTGAGAGTTTATAGTTTGCATCTTTTATTTATCATGATCTACTTTCAAGTAATACACTACATTATATACATATAATATAATAAGAATTATATCACACAGTATTTTCACCATTTCCTTCCTTAGCTTTTGTTCTGTTATTGTTAGACATTTTACGACTATACGTTATAAAGCCCCACCATCGTTATTATTTTTTTGTTTCAAGTTTTTGCTCAAAAGAATTTTAAAGAGTTTTTAAAAACAGGAAAAGCCTTACAAAGTATTTACCCACCTTTTTACCATTTTTATGGTTGCTTATTTCTTTCCCTGACCTTGGGTGGTTTCCTCACTCCCAAGCATCACTCAGCTCTCAGCTGGCCTGTGGATCCTCCACAGGTGCCTATAGCCCTCTCCCTGTGCAGATGTCTCTCCTGGGTCTCCTGCCCTTCTGACTGCGCTCACTTTGCTTTCCCAGTTGCTCAGCTTCATCTCCTCCTGCTTGTGCCCGACTATGCTTGGGCCTGGAAGCTCTCTACAAAGTTTGGTGGGTCATCTGTGGAGCTTGGCACTTGTTTCCCTCTCTCAGGGATGGATCATTGTTCTTCACGCCTGGTGTCCCTGTTTGGTATCTTCTGTCTGGCTTTTAGTTGTTTAAGTTGGAAGGGCAAATTTGGTTCTTTTTAAAACTTCATCTCCCATAGTAGCCAAATTCCAATGTATTTATTTTTAATTTAATTTGGTATTTTTTGAAGTCCAACATATATGCCAAAAACTGCACGTATCATCAGAGTACAACTTGGAGAACTGTTACAAGCTAGCATATTGCACACTAGCACCCAGTAACAGAGCAAGATAGTCCCTGGCTCTGGCTGTCCACATCAAAGGCCTAACTCAGGACCCCCTGCTCTCTCTCTTGCTTCTCACTGGCTGGATAAATGACTAATTATGAACCTGATTGTCTGCCACCAGCACCTCCATGGGACATCTGTGAGGCAAAGGACAGGGCTGAAGTTCTTCTTCACTGCAGGATGAACCCCTTAGAACATTAGCACAGGGCAGGCATTGTATAAACAGCACCTAGGGTTTAAAATCTGTAATTATCTTTAATTGAATAACTGCCTAGGAAAATGTTGGACCATTTGCTCATTTTTTTGACAAGAATTAACATTCTTTTATCTGAAAAGTAATTTAAACATTTCCATTTTAAAATGAAACATTGATGTGGCTAAAGGTGGCTCTTACCCAGCTCCTCTTTATGGAGGCGATTCCACAGCATCTGGAGAGAAAATTCTCGTGACACAGAAGAAACGGCGCCCTCATGGAGCACAGAGAGGCCTTCCAGGGGCAGCTCTAGGAGGTGTCTGTCCACAATCAGGATCACGCTGTCCTCAGCCTCGGGATGAACTACGGACACAGCAACAGTAGTGGTTTAAGTGGATGGGGGACATAAGCCCCATGGGCTTCAGCTTCATCCCTGGAGTCCTAATTTGGTTGACCACGTCAGCCAACAATGTGCAGAAGTCTGATCTCAGCCCAGCTTGCAGAGAGGTGCGGTCCCCGAGGTCATGCAAGGGCCACTGGGCTGGGCACTGGTGTAGATAGTGTGGGGTCAAGCTTACATTCTAGGGGGCACCAGGTCTTGCCCTGGTCCACATATTGATGATGCCTTGCTTTAGAGATCTGATTCCCGAGGCACGACCTGCAATGGTGTGACTCCTTTAACCAGGAAATGCCTTTCAAAGAATGAACGACATCCTTCCTGAGGATTTTCCTAAGAGCGGGTCCTGTAGGGGACCCCTGGAGGAAGGGCAGCACTGCCCTTGTGACTCAGTTTCTTCTCTAGGTGACTGCCAGGACAAGGACTCTGGCTGACTTGTGAGGACCTGTTCTTTTTGCAGTCATAATTACTACTAAGTGGTGGTCCACTTAATTGGATTTTCTTTATTTATAAACCAAAGGTTTACTTGAAACCACTATCAGTTTTTTTTGTTTTTTCTTTTGCCATGCTGGAGATTAAACCCAATACCTTGTGCTCTACCTCTGCGCTCCATTCCCAGCCCCTTTCTTATCTTGATACTGGCAGTTTTTAGGGCAGAATCTGTTTACTCATGTGGCCTCACGTAGCCATACTCTGGCTTGTCAATAGGGTGTGAACTGAGAATCTAGTGTTTTCCTTTTGACTGTATATAATTCCTGAAACCCTCCATCTTCAGGTCTGATTTGTAATTGACAGTTCTTGGGACACTCTGGGTCCTGGCTGTGTAGGCTGCTGACTGGGGAGAAAAGGCACTTGACACTTGGAAATCAAGGCTCTTTCCTGGAGGGATACTTAATGATCCACTTTGTTCTCTGCTCAATAATTCTTTGTGGAAAACAGAAAAGTAGGCAAATAAAAATTTAACAGATGAAATTGTTCTTTAAAAGAGTGCTTTATAAGATCAAAGGTGCCAGGTGAAGAAAAGAAAACCCTGACATGTTTTCTACTTATAATGTTGTGCATACATTCTGACATTCGTTCCAAGCGAGTAAGAAATAACAAGACCTGCACTAAAAGCAGGATCAGGACCCAGAACTCAGCACAAGGTGAGGAGGGGTGTTGGCCTCCCCTATGACAGCCTCAGGGTGAGGTCAGTGCAATAACAGCCATCTTTTCTAAAAGCATCATCAGAACCTTCCCTCCCTCAGGCCCAGCACTGCTGCTCTCCTGCTGTGGCGAGAACTGGCATTGACCCAGGAAGGGCAGGGTTGCTGGGCTCTCAGGTAAGAGGCCATGTGAGTTTTCAGGGCCTCCCACCCAGGCGGAATACAACGGGGCCTCAGAGGGGGGCCTTGCCAGTGGCTCTGGGCCCAGCTTGCATGGATACTGCCCTTGGTTCCTGACTCCCTCGGGCTTCCCGACCTGAAGGTGAGGCCTAACTCACCTTGGGTTGGGCCGGGTGTGTGTCAAGTGAATAGCGGCCCTGTGGTTGTGTCTGAAGCCACTCACCTGGCAGAATGGATGTTTTTCTTTCCTTTTCTTTGCCCTTTGATTTCCCAGTGTCGGCCACAACCGTGGGCATCTGCAACCTGAAAGTTAGAGCTATGTATTCAAGTTATACAAGCACAAAAGCAACACACAGAAAATAAAAAGCATAAAGTGGTCCGATTCCTGTGCAGGCAATGACGCCACAGCTCACTTCTGTGACACAGTTGACTTCACAGTGTGAGCAGAGCCTACTGCTTTGCCAGCAAAGCATGTTTCCTCCCCAAGCCCCTGCCTTTTTTCCACCCCCAAATAAATCCAAGAGCCAGGACTGGATGGGACAGGACTTGCTGGTTCCATGCCACAAGGGATGCAGGGGCAGGTTGGTGCTCCTTCACTCAGGCATGTGGCAGGCTCTAGAGGCGCTGCCTCCTGCACATGTCCTATCCCTGTCGGGCGGGAGCGTGGAGGTCCCCAGAATCAAGCATCAGGGCCTCTTGTGCTGTGAGATCCCTGAAGAACAGCTCTGGACTTCTGTCCCATCCAACCCCACCACACAGATCCTGCTGGGTTTCAGGACGGGGGGCTCCACACAGCAGAAATTAAAGGGTAGGCCCATACCTGATTTCAGGGGAGCTGAGCAGGGGGAAGATGGGCTTCAGGTACTCCTCCATGGGCTCCAGGACACTCCTGAGCCTTCGCAGACAGGGGCTTTTCTCTTCAGTGGGTGCACAGTCTGAGTCCTGTCCCAACCCACCCATAACCTGTGGTCAGGACCCCATGAAACCCCATCCAGGTCAGTAGGTTGGCAGTCTGGTGGAAAAGGACCAAGCTCCTACCCTTCCACAGTGTCCTGGAGACAGGGTAGGGTGTATGTACGCGGGTACAGTGCAGGCGCACAGTGGACCCTGCCCCCTGCATGCTGCCAGCTTCCCCAAGACCATCCTCTGGAGGCCACCCTGATGCCCTTAGCCCTCTTCTGTTTATTCTGCTTACACCATGGAGGGTCCCACCTGTGGGCCAGGCCCCCAGGCCTGATTGACTGTATTCTGGGGAGCAGTGTCAGTTCAGCTTCCTACTCAAGGTCAGACTCTGCCCAAAGATTCAAAAACAACCGCCCCACCCTATGTGGTGTTTGGTCCCTAGATCATCTGCAGGTTGGGCAGAGGCCCATGCCTCCACCCCACCTGGGGGACTTGGTTCTTGGCCTTACAGTGCTTGGAGGCTGGGCTATGTCCTCCTGGTACACCTGGGCCTGGGTCTGCTCCCAGAACTCCTGGGTCCTGGCCAGCAGGTCTGAGAAGGCAGCTGGGCTCACAGCCACCCGCATCACTTTGCAATGGCCTGTGGAGACAAAGGAGCACTCATGAACCCCACAGAGCTGAAAGCAGAGCCACAAGGAATGGTGAGAGGAAGTAGGTTTATCTGTATATTGGGAGAGGGCTTCTCCACAGCGCAAGTGCTCTGACACCAGAAGTGAGACTGCTGCGCCTTCTTGGGCCTAGAAAGCTTTACCAAAGAAGGGCTAACAGAAAATAGAGGGGGCCTCAGACCCTGGAGGTAGAGCCCCAGTTTGGCTGGCTCCTGTGTACTAATGGGAAACACACTGGTGCTTCAATTCCTTTGTAGTACCTGGGCTCAGCCACCCCCACACCCTTGGTCTGTGTGGAGGGCTGAGTCCATCATGCCCACCAAGGATGGCTTCCAGGTGGGCGTTTGTCTTCTGGAAGTGGGAGGTCCTGCTGTGTGTCAGCATTTTGCTCACGCTCACCCGCAGCACCTGCACAGCCCCACTTGTAGGCAAGCTCACCACTCATTTGCAGTGCCTTCCCTTTGGCTGCAGGCGGGGACTTAGGTCTCTCGTAGGCAGCACCGTACAGTTGGGACCTGTTGGTAGGTGCAGGGTCACAGGTGGGTCCCAAGAAGAGATACACCTCAAAGCTTTGGGTCTCAGAGAAGCTCAAGGAGGCCAATTCTGCAACCTCATACACCACAGGCTCCCTCTCCATCTCTCCTTCTTTCCCTCTACCATGTGCCTTGGCAGACAGGGCTCCAGGAAGCCAGGCCATGTACTACCTGGTCAAGACTGGGAATTAGAACAGGCAGCACAAGGGTCACTGTTAACACAATGTGGGTCTCCTGTCATTGTCAGCAGGTGGGGCATCTGACCAGCTCTTTGCTCTACTTCAATGGTGAGCTCAGGCCTTGACATCCAGGCCCATCCAGACCGGATCACAGAGGTGTCCCCACCCCAGTTACACCTGCCTGACCTTTTCCAGGAGGATCGGGAGAGGGCCAAGAAGGCTTGCCTGTCTGGTGAGTAGTGCAGAAAGATGACTCGGAATGTGGGAGGAATCTCATTCAGGATGTTGAAATGCTGCTCAGTGACGCAGAGGTTCTGCCAAGCCTGTGTATGACAGAAGTAATCGAGGCTGTTAGGACACAAGGTCACTCACTATTTTCCTGGGTTCCCAGGAGCTGTGGTCACAGCAGGGCATTTCCTGCCCAGCACTGGCAGGTGATTCAGTCCTGCGGGAATGACTGATGACTGCCACAAGGGGACAGCAGAGACCCAAGGAAGTCACTGACCTGTCAGAAGACTGTCCTGTTCTGTCTGTGCATGTGCTTATGTGAGAAATGAAATTTATATGACCTAACGTGCACACAAACCCAAACAAAGCAGGTGAAAAATTCCACAGTGGTCTTTCCTCTGGTCCTTCTCTGTCCTGTCTCTTGCAGCCAGGCATGCAAACACCATCACATGTATGCAGACACACACAGAACACGTAAGCATGCAGACATAGCCATGTCCTATGATGCCCCCAAAGAGGCCCTCTCTCACCCAGGCATTAAGGGCTCCGTGTGACCCTGGCCTGCAGGCTTCCATGGGCTATCGTCAGATTGTGGCTTCATCCTGTGCACCCCAGACACTGTACACGCTTAGGCTCATCATTGCCCATGAAAGGTGGCTGGCAGTGGGAGTCAGAGGGGTCCAGATGGCCCATGCTCCTCAGTAGAGCTCAAGGCTTCAAGTCAGAAGTTCAAGTTTGCAAAAATGAAATCATTTTTTAAAAACTTCTTGTTGAAATAGAATGTACAGCACAAAGTTTGACAAACCCTACATAAAGTGCTCCATGGACTTTTCACAATGGGCCATGCACACATGGCAGGTAAGAGACCATCCCCTGTCTTTAGGAGTGGCTTTTTGGCTGGGGCTCTTTACCCAGTGGAATGTGGCCAGCTCCACCCATGTTGGTTCGGGTGGTGGCCAGCCCTCCTCTTTGCTGCAGGACATTCCAGTGTATCAATACATCACACTTCTTATCCTTGGCATCTTAAAACCTCTTTTGGCTACCATGAATGCTGCCGTGATGAGCCTTCTAGTATTCATTATATGGGGACCAAGTGTTTCTTCTGGCTGGGCCCATTCGCGGAATTTCTAGATCAAGCTCATTCAGCTCCAGATCTTCCAAACCACTTTCCACCTTAACCTCCACCCTAGCCAACTGTTACCACAGGCCGACCCCTCCTTCTTCATCTTAGCCATTCTGGTGGGTGTCTATTGGTATCTGAATATGGTTTTTTGTACTTCCTTGATGCCTAATGAACACATTCAAAATGTTACTGGGCACTTATCTTTTGTGAAATCAGTCTCATGTTCCCTTTCTACTAAAGTGTCTGCCTTTACCTCTAAGGGATACATTGCCCTTCGTACACACAAGATACCAGCTTGTCATCAGTCGTGTGTGCTGTGACCATCTTTCCCACTCTGCAGCTTGCCATCTGACTCCCAGTGGTAGCTTTTTGATGAGAAGTTCTTAATTTCAATGAGGTTCAATTTATTACTTTGTCCCCTTTTATGCATAGTGCTTTTGTCTCCTGTCCCCTCAAGGGAACGAGCTCCACAATTCTGGGGGCTGAGTTGGCGTACAACTCAAGGGACCCACAGCTGGCAAGAGCTATGATTCTGTGAGTCACCTGTCAGGAGTTCCTGACCTATCATCCATCAGGACATCTTTGCAGAAAACCATGATGACTAATGACTCAGGGGACAGAGCTAGAGCAGCAGCTGAAGGGGAAAAGGTTGTTTCTGCAGCCCTTTGCCTGTGGGGAGAATTGGCATCCTGACAATGTGGAGCTTCCAGCCCACAAACCTGGGACCTTTCTCCATTCATTTAGTTCTTCAGTATCTCCTGATGGGGCTTACAGTTTTGTTAGTGTCCTCCCTAGTTATTTTTTTGACTCTATCACAAAGTGAATCATTTAAGCAATTTTCATTTTCTACTTACTTGTAACTGGCATGCAGAAATACAATTAATGTTTATAGATTGATCTTATAGCCTTTAACAGTGACCTTGCTACCTTTGCATGTCAATTGTAATAACCTATAGTTTCTTTATGATTGACTAGGTCCACAATCATGTTGATTGTGAATTCTATTTTTTCTTCTTCCATCAGAATATTTTCTATTCTTCTGTAACTTTGGATAATTGTATTTCTTTAGTTTATTCATTTGGCTCAAATTGGCAAATATATTAAAGTGAGATTTTAAATAATATGAACTTGTTAGCCTTTTTCTGAAACAGAGTCTCATTACATTGCCCAGGCTGGCCTTAAACTTGTAGTCCTTCTGTCTCAGCTTCCCCAGTACTTGGTTCACAGGCATGCATCACCATACCCAGCCCTTATTTTAACTGATATTGGAATGTTTAAAAACTGATACTAGAAATTTGTGCTTTCTCTCCTTTTCTTTCTCTATTAACTCTTTCTAAGTGTTTATGTACTTTATTACTCTATTCTTTGGTGCCAAACACTGCCTTGTCCACATCTCCTGTTAAACATTTATGTTAACTTTATTGGTTCTACTGTTATATTTATCTGTTACCTTCTTTTTGGTCTTGATGTACCTATCTTCTTGAACCCAAAACCTAAGTCACTGTCTTCCAGGCTTTCTTCTAGTGTTCCAGGTTGTTTCTTTCCTCTAAACTCTGTTTTGGTCAAGTCTCATAAGTTTGATGTGTAGTACGTTCATTCTCCAAGTCTGTTTAAGTGTTTTCTAAAACTCTCTCATGATTTTTTCCTGGATTACCTGGGTGATTCTAAGTGTGTTGTCTAATTTGAAGACACTTGTGCTGCTTACAGGCATCTTCTGTTACTGATTTCTAGTCTGATTACACTGTGGCTACAAAATAAACTCGAGGTGATCTTGGTCCTTTGGGATTTCTTGAGGGTGCCTGTGGCCTGGTCCTGGCAGATTTTGGTGGCCCACTGGGGCAGGATGCGTGTCCCGGCATCAGTGTGGCAGCATCTTCTGAATGTTGGCTAGACCAAGGCTGCTAAGACTTTCTGCATACAAGCTGACATCCACCCACTTGATCAATTAGCAATTGAGAAAGTGAGTGCCTTAAGCTTTCCACCAGAGCTGTGGGTTTGTCTATTGCCTCTTTTATCTGTCAATGTTTTAGATATTTTGAAGCGACATCACTGGGTGGATTGTGAGACCTTGCTGGGTTGAGCTGTATCATTATGAGGTATCCTTCCACTTGCAGTAATGCTTTGTGCCACATCTAACTTTCATCTGATTAGTACTCTCGTGATTTACATCTTTTTTCACCTTTTACTTTCAACATTTCTAGGTACTCTTAAGTAGCATACAGTTGGATTTTATTTTTCTTTTTGTCCAAACTGGCAATCTTAGTCTTCAATTTGGCATGTCCAGTCAATTTATATTTATTGTAACTACCGATATATTGGGCTTATATTTCCTACAGTACTATTCTTTGTCTACTGAGATCCTCTTTCTATATATTCCTTTACCCCTTCTTTCGGATTGGTAAGATATTATGACTAATTTTCCTTTCTATTAACCTAGTTACATATCATTTTAGTGGCCAATCCCAGGGACCATAACTGTCATCCTTGACTTGTGAATCTTACCTTTCCTAAGTAGAGATAGGACCTTAGAACCTTAAATTCTATTTACCTTTCCTTCCCTTTGCACTATTGTTGTCTTTCATTTTAGTTCTACAGTGTAATTCATGCCCAGGATGTTACATTTTGGCCTTAGGCAGTCATATTTGTTCAGTGTGCCAGGCCTGCACTTTGTACTTTGTCTCCTCTCCATCCTCTCTTGGCTGTTCACATTTCTGTCTGGGATTATTTTTCTTCTGCCTGAGGTCTCCTTTTAGTTTTCTTTTTATTACCTGTTGGCAAATGCTATGGCTTGTGTCTAGATGTACCCCCAAAGCCTCATGCAGTCATAGATGGGGTTTTTTCAGAAGTGGCTGGATCTAGAGTGTGTGACACTGGGATTGATTCATGGTGCAATGTCAGGCTCAGGGGCACTAGGGTTAAAGGTCTGAGTGCTACCCGCCCTAAGTAGCCTGGATAAGATGTAAGGGTTAGAAAGAGCTGTGGTTGTTCCTTGTTACTTTTGCTACTTTCAGCCTGCCATGAACTGTTTCTCCTCTATGATACCTGTCTGTCATGCCACCCCGCCTTGGAGCCAGCCAATTATGGACTAGAACCTCTACAAACTATAAGCTAAATAAACCTTATCCCCTTTAACTTTGGGTGCCAGGTATTTTGTCCCAGCAATGAGAAAAGTAAGACAGAAAATTACTTCAGTTTTTGCTTGTCTAAAAATGTCTATATTCATCTCTATTTTGTGGAGTACTGTATTTTTAAATATTCAAGGCTGGCTGTTCTTTTCCTTGACACATCCAGAGTCTTGTGTGGTTCTTTTTGGTTGCTTGAAGCATTGTCTCTGGGCCCCGGGTTCTCCTTGCTCTGTGTACTCAGGGGCAATTTTCTTGGTGTTTGTCCTGCAAGAGTTTGGCTGGAATTTCAGAACCCCTAGCCTCTGCCCCATGTTCAGAATGAACTGTCTACTCTTTAGAAGACTCGGATAAATGTGACTTTTAGCCTTTTGAGAGTCACCTTTTCTCAATCCTGTCTTCCCTGAGTCTTCCTCTCCCCTGAAGTTGTTTTCTCTGGACTCCAGTCTCTCTGAGCTTGGCTGCACACCTTCCCCTGGAGCCTGTTTGCCTCTTCATTTCCTGTGGACTGTGTGGATGCTCCCTGGGCCCCTTGTGTCCCAGAGGCAGCCTCAGTCCCCGTGTCTTCAGCATCTCCCAGGCTCACTGCCTTCTAGAAGCTTTCACATGAGCTCCATGAGGTGAGGACAAAATAGAGACTTCTGGTGGCTGTTCCACTTTGCTGTCCCCCTCCTGCATGTTGACCAGTTCATCCCAGCTGCTTGGGAATCTACCAAACCCTGGAACCCAGGAGGGACAGTCAGCTAGCTTTCCCATTGCATCCTTTCAGCTTAGCTAGTTCTTGTTGCTGTGCAACTGGTGCCACCTACTTGGCTCTAACTGGGGCCATTGTCATTAGCTCATGATGGCCTCAATCTTCTTCCTCCAACGCTATCCCGGGTCTGTGCTCAGAGGAAGAGGGAGGAGGTGATGGCCATTATGCTCCAGCCCTGGATACAACACTGCAATCTATTGGTGTCCCTGTTCCCACCGTTCCTACAAGGCAAGCACTGCCTTGTCCCCAGCTTGCAGGCAGCAGTGTGGGACCTGGCTCATGGCTGGTGTGTGGACTGTGCACACCACCCACCTGGATCTTCCCTCATTGCCTGTCCCATTAGTGCTGTCTAAGTGCCCCCCGTTTATTTCCATGTGGCAGGTGTCCCCCATCTCTCATTGGATGGGAGAGGCACCAGCTTTTCCTGCAGGTCCAGTGTACAGGCTGGCTACATCCTGTGCTCCTGGGCCGGCCTCAGATCTGGAGCTCTGTTCCTCTTCGACCTCTGGGGTCTGAGGGGGGCTGGATTTCCACCTCCCGGTTAAAGCACCAGTTTTGAGCAGGATGACATTGTTCCTACTGCTGATGACTGAGGACAGTTTTGGTTGCCACAATGGGGCCAGGGGTGGGAGTGCTACTGGAGTCCAAGGGATGGAGGCAGGGATGCTGCCCAAAGTTCTTTGGTGCACAAGTCAGCCCCACCCCACCCCACTAACAGAAAGGTCCAACTCCAAGTGTCAAAAAAGAAAGCCCTAGCTGAGGGGGCAGGAGTCAGAGGTATCCTGAGAAGACCAGGAAGCAGCCAGGAGGGAAGAGATGCTCTGTTAGAGCCCTCTTGCCTCTTTTCCAGGATTCATGAAATTTCATAATTTTTTCTTTAAATACTCAGAAATGATCTGCTAGTTCAAGTAAGAGAAGAAGGTGGCTAGCTACAGCACTCTGCAAATGTTTCTCAGGGTTATACTTTCTGTCTGCACCTGGGTCTAAGATGCTTCCTGGAGTAAGTGAAGGTAAGGGAGCCACCACCCTGTCATAGACCCCTGGGGCTTCGAACTGTTAATAGTACTACTTCTAGCCCTGCCCCTCATGGCCACTTTCTAGGGCATTTGTCATTGTCCCTCAAGGCCCAGGAGGAAACTGAGTCTCAGAGAGGCTCCCAGAACTGTGCAGTTGGCAAGGACTGGGCAGGATGTACACCTGAGCCTGTGTGATTTAAAGGCTGTTGTCTTAAGGCTAGATGGAGGGGAGTGGGGGGCTGCAGGGCCAGCAGGAGAAGCAGTGTAGAGGCCTCCCTCCCCAGTCACCTTGGAGATGGCAGCCAGCCTCTGCTCCACGCTGCAGAACAGGTTGGTGGAAGTCTTATCCCGGAGCCTCAGCTGGTGCTGGAGCTGCAGCAGGGCTGCCAACTGCGAGCTGCTGGTATTGGCTGTGGCTGTGAGAAGGATGTTCCGCATCATCTCTGCTGCTGAGCAGCTCTAAAACAGACGGCAGGGAGATGTCATGTGTGGTGTGACTACAGCTGGCCCTGTGGAAGGGTGAGCTGTAGCTGGACTGGGAGGAGGTCTGGCCAGGTAGTGCTGGTGCAAATGGCCTCAGGAAGTATTGCTTCTCGTGGCTGCCTATAGTCATATGGGATCACACTTGGGCCTCCATGAGGTTCACACAGGCCGGGCCATACTGGCCCTTTACTGCTGGATCTCCATACCTGCTTTGGTGACTTGGGATGAGCACACAGTTGTGTGTTCCCCATGAGCCTCAAGAACATATGGCTGGTAGCTTCCACTACTTGTGGGGCAACGGGGCCTGGGGCTCACGGGAACAGGGAGGACCTAACCTTTTCCAGTGACCGTGGTTAGCTCTCTCTGTAATGGAGTGCATCCCCATAGTGAAGGCCCAGCTGCAGCCTGGCTGGTGGGTGCTTGGGGCTTCCTCCCTCCCAGGGGACTTAGAAGGGCCTGGCAGGAGGTGCCCAGAGTAGCACTATACCTGAGATAGTGCCAGGAACTGACAGGTGGCCACAGGGTCCAGGGTGCCAATGCACTCAACCATCTCCAGGCTGGCAGCTGCTGCGATGTCCAGGAGGCTGCTGTCCAGGGCAACCTGTAGGCACTGCAGCAGCAGCTCGGATGCCTGGGCCAGGTACCGCTGGGACAGCACCATCCTCCTCTGTGGGCAGTACAAGGCTCAGGCTCTGCCAGGCTGTGTGGGCTGAGGCCACCCAGGCTTACGTACTTACCTTCAGACTCTCGCCCTTCCTGTTGTGTTCCTCTGGCGCTTCACTAAAGGCCAGTAGGTCCCTGGTGGCAGTCTTGACAACCCTGTCCTCTGCTTCCAAGTCTAGAGATTGGAGACTGCTCAGCTTGGCACCCACCTATGACACATGCAGGGTGATCATTGGGCTTGCATGGATTCATGCTTGGTGAGCATGGATGGGGCTAGGGAGGGGGCATCGCAGGCCAGTCTGGCCTCTCAGTGCCACTGGAGCCTCCCTAGCCTGCCCAACAATTGCTTTAGTGGATTTGGAGGAGCCTTGGCCTGAGATCCTGAGAGGACTACAAAAGTTGCAGTCTGGGTGTGGAGGTTGTGCTCTGAGAAAGCAATGTGAGTCTTGGAATCAGTTGCATTCTGCGGTCATTTTCATCCAGTCTTTTGGAAGCACTTTCCCTGTGTGTTGGTGCTGGTCAGTACTGCAATGAGTCAAATGCCCATCCCTTCCTCAGTGCAATCAGTCTGGTTAGGAAACAAAGACAGAAGCTAGGGAAGGAGGAAGGCAGGCCTTCCAAGAGAGCAGGGGCCCTGAAGAGCTGGAGTCAGGGGGCCCCTATGTATGTGGGATCATGAGGTTTCACAGTTCCAGTGGAAAGCTTAAGATACTTCCTCAGTTGCTAACAGATCAAGTGCATGAAAAGCCAACACATCTGCAGAAGGGCTGGGAGATTTGGGCCTAGCTGACATCCAGAGGATGCCACCTCACTGATGACTGATGTCAGGACAAACTCACCAGGGCTGGGCCACAAGCAACTTCAAGAAATCCCACTGGGAAGATAACAGAATGGTGAGCAGCAGAGAAACAGGGTCTCTGATATTTGGAATACAGACACTGAAATATAGCAACAGGAAGAAGAGGAAAGAGGAGGCAAGTGGGTCCCTAACACAGAGAAGAAATCTAAAGTGAGAATTAGAGCCCACAGGGAGAGCAAAGAGAGGGACCACATGCAGAAGAGGGAGGTGGTAAAAAGTGCTTTCTCCCTGATCCCCAGCTGGAGGGGTGGGAGAGGCAGCTCAAACCTGCAGAGGCATGGTGACTACTGGCAACACCAGAGGCCTCCATGGAGAAATTCACCAGTGGAATGGAGCAGTGGACTCTGTGGGCTGTAGTGGCTGGTGAGTTATTCAGGTTCAGATGTGGCCCCACTCAGGGCAATTGGCCAATAGCCATTTTGGAAAGGGGCTCACAGAAGTCAGAACTCAGAGCAGCTGTGGGTTGGCTCCATCTAGTGGCTCCAAGTGTCAGGGTAAGGCACAACTGAGTGCCAGCTGGCAGGAGGTCAGGCAATGGAGTTTAAAGCCAGCAGGAGACACTTGAAGTGTTGTGGGCTGAAAAACTCAGGACCCTGCCTCACAGCCAGAAAGAAGAAGCAGCCTGAACTTCAGTGGAACTAAAGGCCCAGGTTTGCTGGAATTACTCACCACTGCCATAATTCTACTGCTGGCTTCTTGGGACCAATCAACATGGATCTGGGCTATGTCTGCCTCCTCTGACAACCAGTGACAGCAGAGACACACCCTGAGGTGGACATTATTTTTTCTGCTTTTCTTTCTTTGCTTATTTATTTATTTTCTATTTTTTCTCTTTTTCTTGATTGCTTGTTCTTGACTGCTTTTATATGAGTTAGAACATTGTTTCTAGTTTTTATTTGGCTCTGTGCTTGTTTCTGTTTCTTCCTTCTTTTAGTCCTTCCCATTTTTTCATCAGTTCCCAAAGCTTGTGTTATCTTCCTTTGTCTTCAAGCCTTCCTTCTAATACCTTTCTCTTATTCTATTTCTCTATTTTCCCCCCTAGTCCCTTTTAAATGTTCTCTCCTGAGGGTAAAATCACCATATTGAGGGGATATTTACTCTACACAATTTTCTAGTTTGTTTTAGATTTGGTTATATAACTACAAATCCTGTCCATATGGATAAAAAGTCAAATTAATATTTACCATAGTTTGTCATTTTCTAGGGTGTGTTTGATTCTAGTATTATTAGTGATTGTGCTACTTTAGCCAAAGTGACATAATTGTTCTAATCAGTTGCTCTTCCTTGTATACCAAGACTGAGATTGCCTGAGGGTCATAAATAATACTATCAGGCAGTGCCAAAGAGGGGGCTAGGCTGAATAGGCAGCAATTTCTCATCCCCAATAAATTTAAGAGATAGGATCTTGCAACAATCTCAAAAAGCCAGCTACACCTGGGAGACATCCCTGAGAAGTAGTCATTTCCTAAGGGTTCTCAATACTAGCAATAAAGATACCTACCATAAACAATTTGCAAACATCAACACAGTAATTAATCTTTTAAAAATAGAAAATGAGAAGAGACAGAAGCAAGATGCAACTCCAGACTTCTAGCTCACCAAAGGCAAACTCAGGGGGCAATGAGGTGGAACAATTTGAAAGCCATCTAGACTCTCTGATGTAGTAACAGTGGAAGTAGCAAAGCAAATGAATGAGGCTCTAGAAAAAAATCAATTCAGAAATAATTTCTCAGATAACTTCAGAGTTGATCATAATGAAGGGCATGATTAATGGATCTAAAGAAGACACAGATTTAAAAAAATAGAGGAGCTTAGGAAGATGATGGAAACTATGAATGCCCAACATAGGAAAGACATAGAATCCATGAAACACATTCAGTCAGATATCCACGAGAATAAAAATTCTATTGAAAGTATACACAGCAGAATGAACCAGTGTGAGGACAGAATATCAGATTTAGAAAACAGGATTGCAGTTAGTGATCATGAAAAGAAAGATTTCTTAAAAATAGCAAGGGACCACGAAAAATCAATTGAACAGCTGCTTAGAGATGTAAAGAAGAATTGTATAAGTTTGATCAGAGTCAATGAAAAGGCAGGAGATACTGCAAATGACAAAAACTCTGTTCACAGAAGTAATGGCAGAAAACTTCCCAAGCATGGAAAAAGAATTTGACATACAGATAAATGAGGCATATACAACTCCAGTTATCCATGATAAAAATAAATCTACCCCAAGACATATAATAGTCAGGATTCTAGAAATTCAACACAAGAACAGAATATTAAAAGCTATTAGAGAAAAGAAACATGTCACTTATAAAGGAAAGCCCATTAAAATTAAAGCAGACTTCTCAACACAAAACCTTAAGTCAAGGAGAGTTTGGAGCAAAGTATTTCAAGTCCTAAAAGAAGATAACCTCCAATTCAGATTGATGTACCCCATAAAACTATTTGTCAAAATTGATGGAGAAATAAGATACTTCCATGATGAAGGACACCTGAAGAAATTCACGACCACCAAACTAGCACTCCAAAATGTTCTGAAAGACATTCTACAAAGAGATAATAAACTATAACTCCATGAACCCCAACAGAATGAATCCCACAGGGGAAAAAATAAGAACCGAGACACATCATGTAAAGGTACAAGATCCCAATGATGAATGTAACTGCATTGTATACCTAAAATGTACCAATAAACTTAATGAAAAAAAAAGCACCTACAAATAGTACCTGTAAAAAGATTACAGGCAGAGATTTAATGCAATTTTGTGGAAGTTGTAATATGTAGACCACATTTAAATGAAGTTTTACATTTGGAAAAAACCCCCAATGAATCCACCAGGCAAGGCAAGTAATTAAACATAGGGGAAAGAAAGGGAACCAACAATAGGAAAATAATATAATGACAAGGATAAATCAGTACGTATCAGTTATAACCATGAATGTAAATGGTCTCAGTCCACAATCAAAAGAAACAGACTGGCAGAATGGATCAAGAAACAAGATCCAACAATATGATGCATACAAGAAACACATTTAACTTAAAAAATTCATAGACTGAAAGTCAAAGGATGGAAAACAATACTTCATGTGACAGGGACTTGGAAAAAGCAGGGGTAGCTATTCTATTTGCAGACATAGTGGTTTTCAAGTCAAGATGAAAAGAAAAGATAAAGAATATCACTTTATCTTTGTTAAGGGAACAATCCAAGAGGAAGAGATAGCAGTCATAAATATATGTGCACCAAATACCAGCACACCTAACTATATAAAACAAATATTAAGGGACGTGAAAAATCAAATAAGCACTATTACAATTGCAACAGGGATCTCAGTATCCCCTGTCACAAATAAGACAGATCAACTAGACAAAAAAATGAACAAAGAAATATCAGAACTTGTAGCAGACACTTCTGCCCAGTAACAGCAGGCTATAGTGGCACAAGCTTCTTGCCCCTCCATAATTTGGCTGTATTACATTGGAAGTAGCAGAATTTGGATGAGTTCACTCCCAGTCAAGGTCAACTGACTCCAACCAAATTCTTCCCCTCCAAATTAACCATTTGTTCTCTTCATAAACCTCAAGCTCCTAGAAAAACAAGAACAAGTCAAACTGAAGTTCATACAAAGGAGGTGATTATAAAGATTAGAGCAGAAATCAATGCAATTGAGACTAAGAAAACAATTCAAAGAATCGATGAATTGAAGAGTTGGTTCTTCGAAAGATTAAATAAAATTGACAAACCCTTAGGCAGTCTTATTTTAAAAATGGAAGAAAAGACAAAAATCCACACATTGGGGAATAAAGAGGGTGAAATCACAACAAATCCTGCAGAAATCCAGAAGATCATTAATACCCACTATAAGAACCTATACTCTCACAAGATGGAAAACTTAGAACAAATGGACCAATTTCTAGATATATATGAATTACTAAAGCTGAATCAAGAAGATTCTAAATAAAGATTTAGATAAATAAATTGATAAATATTTATTTATTTAGATAAACAAATCTTCAATAAAATTGAAGATGTCATTAAAAACCTACCAACAAAGAAAAGCCTAAGCCCTGATGGATTCACTGCTGAATTCTACAGGAACTTTAAAGAAGATCTAATGTCACTACTCCTTAAACTCTTTGATGAAATTGAAAGGGAAGCAATACTCCCAAATTCATTCCTGGAAGCAAGCATTATCCTGATAGCAAAATCAGAGAAGGATCCAACCGTAAAAGAGAACTACAGGTCAATCTCCCTAATGAACATAGATGCAAAAATCCTCAATAAGATACTGGCAAACAGAATGAAGCAAATCATCAAAAAGATTATACACCATGACCAAGTAGGATTCATCCCAAGGATGCAGGGATGGTTCAACATATGCCAATCAAGAACTGTAATACATCATATTAACAGAGCCAAGGACAAAAACTACATGATCCTCTCAATAGATGCAGAAAAAGCACTTGACAAAGTCCAACACCCATTCATGATAAAAACTCTACAGAAAATTGGAATAGATGGTCTTTCTCTCAATCTGATAAAAGCCATTTATGACAAATCAACAGCCAACACCATGCTAAATGGTCAAAACCTGAAAGAATCAGTAATAAGACAAGGGCACTCACCATCACCACTCCTGTTCAATATAGTTCTGGAAACATTAGCCAGAGAAATTAGACAAGAGAAAGAAATAAAGGGCATAAGGATAGGAAAGGAAGAAGTTAAATTATCATTGTGTGGAGATGACATGGTACTCTACATAGAAGACCCCAAAAACTCCAAAAAAGACTTCTAGATTTAATAACCAAGTTTGATAGCACAGCAGGGTACAAAGTCAACATTCAAAAATCAACAGCATTCCTGTACACAAATAACAAACTCACTGAGAGGGAAATCAAGGAAACCACACCTTTCACAATAGCATCAAGAAAAATGAAATACTTAGGAATCATCTAATGAAGGAACTAAAAGACCTTTACATGAAAAACTACAGTACTTTGAAAAAGGAGATTAAAGAAGATACCAGAAAATGGAAAAATATCCTCTGTTCTTGGGTAGGAAGAATGAGTATAGTGACCATGGCCATCCTCCCAAAACTGTTATACAGATTTAATGCAATCCCAATCAAAATACCAGTAGCATACCTCCCAGAAATAGAGAAAACAATCCTAAAATTCATTTGGAACCAGAAGAGACCTAGAATAGCAAAAGCAATTCTAAGCAGCAAAGGCAAGGCAGGGGGCATCACAACCTCTGACATGAAATTATAACACAAAACTACCATGATAAAAACAGCATGGTACTAGCAAAAAGCAGACCCAAGGATCAAGAGAACAGACTAGAAGATGCAGAAACAACTCCAAACACGCTCAGCCATCTTGCCTTTGACAAAGAGGCCAAACATCTTCACTGGAAGAAAGATAGTCTCTTTAATAAATGGTGCTGAAGATTAAACTTAGATCCATATCTCTCACTATACACTAAACTAAAATTGAAATGGATCAAAGATCTAAATATTAAAACAGAAACACTAAATCTTCTGGAAGATAGGACATGTAGAACTCTTGAAGACATAAGTGTAGGCAAAGACTTTATGATCAAAACCTCAATAGCACAGGAAATATCACAAAAAATCAACAACTGAGATCTCATCTTATTAAAAAGCTTTTGCACAGAAGAAGAAACTACCAACAGAGTGAAGAGAAAACCCTCAGGGAGGAAAACATTTTTGTTGGCCATTCCTCAGAAAGAATTAATATCTAGAACATATAAAGAACTAAAAAATATCAGATTCTCTAAATTTAATGATCCAATCTAAAAATGAGTATCTGAAATTGACACTTCTCAGATGAAGAAGTATAAACAGCAAATAAATATATGAAAAAATCTTCAACATCAGTGGTCATTCGAGAAATATAAATTAAAAGAACACTGAGATTTCATCTCACTCCCCAAAGAATGGCTATCATCAAGAAATTAACCAATAACAAATCCTGGTAGGGCTGTCTCAAAAAAAGAACCCTTCTCCACTGTTGGTAGGAGTATAGGCTGGTGCAACCACTGTGGAAATCAGTGTGAAGATTCCTCAAAATCTAATACTAGAGGTTGTATCTGACTCAGTTATGGCCCTTCTAGATATCTTCCCAAAAGAGTTACAAGGATTATTCCACAGTGATATATGCATATCCATATTTATAGCAGCACAGTTTTTAATAGCTAAATCTTGGAAATAGCCCAAATACCCATCGACCGATGAATGGATAAAGAAGATGTTGATTTTTTTATACAATGGAGTACTACTCTGCCATAAAGAAGGATAAACTTGAGACTTTTCCAGGTAAATGGATGCACCTTGAGACCATAATATTAAGTGAAATAAATTGGAGACACATTCAAATATCTCATGGTTTCTCTGGTGTGAGAAACCGAAAGTGTACATAAGGACCAAAATGTATAATAGATATCGTGAAATAGGAAGAAAATGTTCAAATGGGAGGAGGAACAAAAGAAGGGAGAAGGGGAAAAGAAGGAAGGGAAAAGGAAAAAAAGAGAATAGAAGGAAAAAATGGAAACAAAGCTCTTGTAAATAAGGAAGGGAAGAGAGGTTGAACGGAGGGGAGGGAAAGGGGAAAAAAGAAGAATTAAGATACATCATGTACAGGTACAAATTCTACACGATGAATGTTATAATTATGTAGATCTAAAATGTACCAATAAAATTAAAAATAGCATTGTGTGAGAAAAAAAGAAATCTGAAATAACTGAAATTATCCAAGTTTGTTTTTCAGTCACAATGAAATCAGACAAGAAATCAGTAACAGAAGATGCCTGTAAATAGCACAAGTGCCTTGGAATTAGACAACACACTTAGAATCATCCAGTTTGTCAAGGAAGAAATCACAATGGGATTTAGAAAACACTTAGACTGATGCAGAGAATGAAGATACTATACATCAATATCAAAACTTGGCCCAAACAGGATTTAGAGGAAAGATACCACCTGCAATATAAGAAGAAAGCCCAGAAGACAGTGGTTTCATCTTTGTTTTCAAGAAGATAGACTAACAATAAGACACAACTATGAAAAAATGAAGGGAACATGCAAAGGGAGGTGGGAGGTGGGGCTGGAGACCCCAGGCCTGGGGCAGAATCTGTGCGTTTCCTGGAGCACGTTTGTTTGTGTTTCATGACAGCCCCTCCCTGCAGGGGTCATCTCCACCATCCCATGACTAAGGACACCAGCTCCTAAGAGGGTGGTGCGCAAAGGCCTCCTTTCTGGTTCACTTGTACCTGAGCCAGAACTTCTGTGCGGGGATTCATGAACACTGGCTGAATCAAGGGCCAGAGCCACCTGTGCACCCAACATAGGTCTCATCCTGTCCTGGGTCCTGAGGACACAGGACAAACAGCCACAAGGGGCTGACCCATGGGCTGCATAGACACTGCTGGGGACTGCATTGGTGTGAAGCCTGGTGGATGTGGAGCCTGCTGCTTTGACTTGGGGGGGCTCTTCCTAAAGGAGCTGGTCTGTGGGAACATCTTGGTTTGTCCGCCAAGGCAGATACCTTCCCTGTGTAGGAACTGCCTCTGTACAGGTGTTCAGGAAGGAGACCTGGGACCTCTAGGGCTTGTAGGTATTGTCACCAGGGTCCTTGGTGGGCAGATAGCTTCTGAGAGAGCACTTGGTCCTGTGGGGGAGCCTTGCTGGGGGCCTTTCAAGGAGTGGGCCTTCTTGGGTAGGGGAGAAGGAAAAGGTTTCATTTACAATTTCAAACAGTCTTAGCTGCACTGATCCTGGGTTGTGTAGAGGGTGGAGAAGCAGTGAAGGTAGGCAGGATTGTCTCACTGCATGTTAGGATGAAGCCAGCACGCAGAGCTCAGCATGCCCCAGAGCAGTACTTTAGGCTTTCTGAAACTCCCCAGGGTCTTGTATATGGCCAGGCAAGAGCCACTGAGGTGGGTAGATGCTAGGGTCATGCTCTTCCTCATTGAGGTTGTCAATGAGTCTCTCACATCCCAGTTTCAGCATGAGATCAGATGGTCCTAAATCTAACACCTGTGCTCTTTAGGAACAGGCGGTGTTTGAACCCTAGATGTGGGTGGGAAGGAGGGCACCTACCAAGAGGCCTTCTTCCCAGTGGAAGGAAGGGTGTAGGGGGTCCACCTGTATGGCTAACAGGTGGAGGGCCCTCCCAGCCAGGCCCAGGAGCTGGGCACGGATCTCCACGCAGCCCACACACAGTGGCTGCAGGCTCCCCAGCTGTGCCAGTGCCGTGTGCGCCAGGGTCCGCTTCAGCGTGAGCCATTGCTTCAGGAAAAGAAAGAGACACAGTCACCACTGACCCACACGGGCAGCCATCCACCCACTGGGGAAGCTCAGGAAGCCCATGAGTCCACCCTCCAATGCCAGGAAGAGGACATCTGGGGACTTTTGAAAAATACCCCTGCTCTGTGGGGTACTGCTTGGTAGTGTAGGGGTCCCCCAGGCTTAGGTCACAAAAGGTTGCTTTTATAAACTTAAATTGGAGCTCAGGGACAAATCAATTTCAATTTTAGAACTATCTTTGGTTGACTTATATTCATGTCAAATTAATTTGATTCATATTTCATGATATGTAAGAAAATGTAAAATGTAAAAGTATGTTTCTTTCAAAACAGGTATTTCCCATATTCAGTTTAGCTTTAGAAAATTTTTTTTCCTTTTGTGGTTTTGGGTATTGAACTCAGAGCCTTGTGCACACTAGGCAAGTTCTCTACTGGAGCTACATCCTCTGACCATAGTTTAGTATTTTTTAAAAAGCACAATGTAATTCATCTTTGTAGCGCCCTCTAGCATGCTAGCATAATTAGTTGAAGTGCACTCAAGGCCTGGGAGGAGAACAGTAAGGTCACGTGGGAAGCATCTCCCAATAAGACCGTCATTGTAATCAGCCAGTTAAGTCCCCTCAAATGACCAGACAATGCCTTTCTTCTCCAAGGCTTGGCAGCCAAATCATCCAGCCATCAAGAGCTACAAAAGCAGGAGACACTTAGGTCTCCACCGATCCACATCCTTCTACAGTGAAGGCTGTGCTTAGTGTGAGTGGACTAGTGGATGTCATCCCAGGGAGCTTCCCTGTAGAAGATGTGTACTAAGACGGCCTGACAATCACCAGCCCGATGGTCGTGTAGTCACTAGTGTTCTGCAGATAGTATGCCAGCAGCTTTTCCAAGGACCCCTGCTTCAGTCGCTGCTCTAGTGCCTGTTCCCAGGTGAGCTGCAACATGTCCAGACAAGTCTCCACAAAGCTGAGTTTCAGATGGGCCAGCCTCCGCATCAGGGGGGTGTTGACATTCTGTAACTGATATGGCCAGGTGCCTGGTCAACACAATAGACACTTTCTGATGATACTAAGCCTACATTTTCATGACTTTCATGAGGCATAACTGGCATGTCGTAAACTGCGCACAACTACAATGTAAAACGGACACATTTTGATGAGTACAGCCCAAACCATCACCACCACAGAGATAATAAATGTACTCTCCACTCTCTAGGTTTCCCATGTCCCTCTGTGATTCCTCCCCTTCCCTCTTCCTGAACCTCCCTCCTTCATAGGCCATTACTTATCTACTCCCCAGCACTACAAATTAGTTTGTATTTTCTACAATTTTGTATAAGTGGCACCATACACATGTAGTATTTTGTCTGGTTTATCTCATTCAGCATAATTATTTTCAGATTCATTCTTGAGCACATTTGTCCCTATTTGTAGCTGAGTATTATTCCACTGTATGGATGTTCCATAGTTTGCTTATTCACTCAAATATTATTTCCAGTTTGGGGCTACTACAAATAAAGCTGCTGTAAACTTTCACTTACCAGCATTGTTGTGGGTAAATGCTCTCACATCTTTTGAGTACCCACCTAAAAGTGGAATATCTGGGTCATATGGTGTACCTGTGTTCAACATTTTATGATCTGCTGAACTGTCTCCAAAGTAGTTGTCCTGCCAGGAATGTGTAAGGTGCTATTCTCTCCACATCCTTGCTAACATTGGGTGTGGTTAATCTTCAAAATTGTACAATAGGTGTGTGGTAATTGCTTGTGATGGTTATAATTTCTATTTCTTAATTGACTGATGATGTTTATCTTTCCAGGTGCTTATTTATCATCTATATATTTTTTGAGGACATGTCTGTTCAAGTATTTGCTCATTTTTTAGTGGGTTGTTTTTGTTTTTAACTTTTGAGAGTTTTGGGCTGGGGATTTAGCTCAGTGGTTCCGCTGCCTGCCTTGCAAGCACAAGGTCCTGAGTTCAATCCCCGGTGCCAAAAAAAAAAAAAATCGAAAGTTTTAAAATGTATATATAATGCCATTATCACATGTATGATTTGCAAATATTTTTCACACTCTGTGGCTTCTAGTTTCATCATTATCTTTTGAAGAGAATTCCAATTTATCAACTTATTATTTTATGAATCATGCTTTAGGTGTCATATATAAGAAATATTTGCCTAGACATTTTATAGTTTTAAACCTTCTATTTAGGTCTACAATCCACTCTGAGTTATTATTATTACATATAGTAGGAAATATGAATTGAAGTTCAGTTTTCTGGATGTACACATCTAATTGTTCAGCACTATTTAAAAACTATCCTTTCTTCACTGAACTTTGTGCTTTTACTGACATTGTCTCCTGCATGTATCTGTGCAGAAATTCTTTTACCTTCCATTCATCTGTTTGTCTACTCTTATACTAGAATCACACTGCCTTGACTTCTTAGCTTAATAATAGAATTTAAAATCAAGTAATGTTAGACTTCTAATTTTGGTTTTCTTTCCCAAAGTTGGGTTGGTTATATTAAACCTTTTGAATTCCAATATGAATTTTAAAATCATTTTGTCAGTTTCTGTTAAAAAGCTTGCAGTGACCTTGATCAGGATTGTGGATAACTCAGGGAGAACTGATATCTTAATTAGTCTTTTGATCTGTGAATCTCACATGACTTTTCATTTATCTGTGTTTTATTTAATTTTCTCAGTCATGTTTTATAGTTTTCAGGGTACAAGTTTTCATATTTTGGGGGTCAAATTTCATTTTATTCTGTCATAAGTGATACTTAAAAAATTTTTAATATCAGATTGATTGTTCCTACTATATAGAAATATGTGATTGACATTTGTATATTGTTATTGTATCCTGTAACTTAACTAAATTCTATTAATATATTAATCTTTATTAACTCTATTTATTAGCTTTAATTTAGCTTACTAAGAACTTTAATTTTTTTGGTACATAATCTATGATTTTCTATGATCATGTTATCTGTGAACAGACAGTTTTACTTCTTTTTTTCCTAACTAATTTAGATGCTTCTAAATTATGTTTCTTGCTTTATTATTTTGGCCAGAACTTCCAAAACAAGGCTGAATAAAAGTGGTAAGAGGACAAATACATCCTTGCCTTAGTGCTTTTCTTTTTTTTTTTTAAACTCTATTTTATTTATTTATTTATTTTTTTGGTACCAGGGATCGAACTCAGGTCCTTGCGCTTGTGCAGCAGGAGGTGAAACCACTGAGCTAAATCCCCAGCCCGCCTTAGTGCTTTTCAAAGGGGGAAGCATTCAGTCTTTTGCCAGTAAGGATGATATTAGGTCTGGTTTTCTCATAGATGCCCTTCATCAGGATGAGGGAGTTCTCTTCTAAATATTTGGTAAGAGTATTTATCAGGAATGGATGTTCGATTTTTGGCAGAAGCTTTTGTGCATTTACTGAGATGGTCCTATAGTTTTTTTGTTAATATTTTCAAATTGATAAGTCAAATTGTTGTATTTTTAAATGTAAGACTATTCCTGTGATAAGCCAAACTTAGACATAATGTATTATCTTTTTAATACATGTTAACTTAATTAAAAAAATTTTTGTTCAGAATTTTTGAACCTGTGTTCATAAGGTATATTGGTATATAGTTTTTTATTTGCTTTTGTTTGTAGTGTCTAACTTGTTTTGGAATCAGGGCTATACTAGACTCATGGAAAGTTGGAATGTATTTTTTCTCTTTCAACATTCTAGGAGAATCTATGTAGAACAGGCATGACATTTTTTTCTTAAATATTTGGTAGAATTCACCAGTAAAGCCACCTGGGCCTGATATGCGTTTTGTAAGAATACTTTCAATTGCAAATTCAATTTCTTTAATTTGTGTAGAGCCATCCACTTATCTTTCCCTGAGTGGGCTTTGGTAGACTGCGTCTTTCAAGGAATTTATCCACTTCACCTGAGGTCCCCAAATCAAAACATTTCCTTATTATTTTTTCACTATCTGTAGAACCCATGAAGACATTGCATCTCTCATTTCTGACTTTAGCTATTTAGGTCCTATCTTTTTGGTCTAGTATATCTGATTAGAAACTTCTAAATTTATTGACTTTCTTAAAGGATAAGTTTTGGTTTTGTTGACTTTCTTTTTTATTTTTGTTTTCTATTCCACTGATTTCCTCTCTGATCTTTCATTTCTATTCTTCTACTTATTTTGGATTAGTTTGCTTTTCCTCTTTTTAAAGGCAGAGGTGGAGGTCATTGATTTCTGATATTTTTTCTTTTCATATACAGGTATTTAGTGCTACAGATTTCCCCCTAAGGACTGAATTGGCAACTTCTTAAATTTTTTTGATATTTTTTTCTTTAGTTCAAAGTACTTTCCTTTTTGACTTCTTCTGTGGTTTATAGTTATTTGAGTGTAAAATATTTACTTTCCGAATACTTGGGGTTTTCCACACACATAGGTTTTGGTTTTAAAAATTAAAGTAAAATTCCTATAAGACAAAGTTAACAATTTTAAGCTCACAACTTAGTGGCACTTGGTATATTCACAAAATTGTGCAATCATTATCTCTCTCTAGTTCAAAACATTTTCTTCACTCCAAAAGGAAACCCATTAACAGTTATTCCTCAACGTTTCCACTTTGTCCCTTAGCAATGACTCATCTTTCTGTGTCTATGGATTTATCAGTTCTATAGTTCTGTTTTTGATTTCTAATTTAATTCCATGTGATGACAATATATGCTTTGTATGACTCAAATCTTCAAAATTTACTGAGACTTGTTTCATGGTCAAAACTATAGTTTATGCTGGAAAATTTTCATGCACATAGATGAATGTTACTCTGTTGTTACATGCAACATTTTATAAATATTAGATCATGTTAGTTGACAGTTTTCAAATCCTCTAATTTTTTCTGATTTTCTGTCTACTTGTTCCACTAATAATTGAGAGAGGGGCATAGAAATCCCTGACCATAATTATAGATGTTTCTATTCCTCCATTGCAATACTTATCAGTTTTTTCTTCATTTACTTCAAAAGTCAAGTACATAATTGTTTAGATTGCCATGTCCTCTTAGTTACTAGATTCCTTTATGCCAGCTATGTCATGATTCTTTTTTTTTGGTACCGGGGATCAAACTCGGAACCTTGTGCTTATGAGGCAGGCAGCGGAACCACTGAGCTAAATCCCTGGCCCATATGCCATGAATTCTTGTATCCCTGATGATGTTTGCTCTGAAATCTGCTTGTGTGATGCTAATACAGCCACTTCAGATTTCTTTTGACCAGGGCTAGCATGAGATATTTTTCCATCCTTTTACTTCAAACTTACTTATATTTTTATGATTAAAGAGGTTTTCTGTGGGGAACACATAGTTGGGGTTCCCTTCTTATATAATCTGACAAAGTCTGAGGACAGGCTGTATACTTTGCCCACAGGCTTGACTGAGGTTACTGAGTTTCCCCAATCAGGTTGGGGGAGCAGGTGCTGATCCCTTCCTGAGTGAGCACTAAGCACTGTTTCCTGTAATCCTTTCAGCTGGTTCTTCCCGAGCCTTGAGGAACTTCCTCCCAAGGAATATGTTGATGAGGCCTTAGGTAGACACTCTGGATCATCCCCTGAAGATCTCTGTGCACCATTCTTCTTTGTTAGAATCTGAACTTCCAACTCTAGCTACATCTCTCTTCCAGAACTCTCAGCTCCATTCCCTGACACAGAATCCATCTCGGCTCCCCTCTCCATAGCCACAGTAAGCATGGACCTTAGCTCAGGAGTTACTGTTTGTCATCATTGAAGTTCAGGGCTTTGAAAATCCTTGTTTCATGTATTTTGGTTATTTCAGATGGGAGAGTAAATCTAGTTGCTATTACTCCATCTCAGCCAGAAGTAGAGGTCAGCTGGGTTTTTCAGAGATGAATTATGGTAGTGAGTATTTTATATGCTGCTGGGAATGACAAAGATGTGCTCAAAGAGCCAGAACTTGTACTTACGTCTTGAAAGGACAGTAACCCTTGAGTTCTGTGAAATATCCCTTCTTCCTCAGCCACAGCTTTCTGGACCAAGTCATATATTTCCAAGCGATATGCAGTTTTTTGCTCTTCATCTTTCTCGATTTTGGCACATAACCTTTATACAATATAAGAATGGAATTTAGAACAAAGATATTAAATATATGTCATTAGTACTAACTGATATATAAATACATAATTTTCACAAAATTATACTCTATTTTCTTAGTACTTAAAATTTTGTAATTAGATGTTTTGATGTAAAGATATGCTCAAGATATTTTAAAGCAAAGATTAAAAAACAGAATAACACGGTAAGTGCACTGTGACACTATGCTTGTGAAAAATGAAATCTGTGCCCAAAAGTCATCTGACGTGACAACACCACACCAGTCTGCTGGCTAACCACCTAGTTTCCTGCCTTTCCCACAGACCCAAGATGGCGCTGTACTACATCTAGACATGACTTGGGTTGGACTTCCTAGGTGTCAGTGTACTGTCCCATGTGAAGGCTCAGTAATGGCTACCCAGATTTGCTTGTGTGTAAACAGGCATGTGGGTGCCCAGGGTGGATGGAGGGTGGCCTAGTGGAGTGGGGAAGGGTATCTGTGAGGCTTTGTCAGCACTGGGTTGGTCATGCCCTGGAAAGGGGATTGAGTTGGTGTGGATGACAGTGTGCATGAGTGGGACCCTTATGTGAACATATATAAGTTTGTGGGGTTGGTGGGGTGTGTGTGTCTGCAGAGGCTGAGTGGCATCCTGCCAAGGTGGGGCAGAAACAGGAAGGAATCAAGGGCTGGAGGACTTGTGGAGGCTGTAGGTCCCCAAAGTGTGTCCCTAAGGGAGGTGTGGGCAGCCACAGGGCCAGGGCCAGGAGGAGGCCCCTGGGAGACCTGTAGGGTGTTAAGAGGAAAAGTGGATGTGGTTCAGGAGGTGTGGATGAGACGGCAGTGGGAGGAGCTGCCTGGGGCCCACAGGAACTGCAGTGGCTGTGGGCACTGGAAATAAGGGGTCTGTGATCTGTGAGGACTTGGAGAAAGCAGCAGCTGTAGTGGACAAAGGGCCATGGTCAGTCCTGCTGAGAACAGCAAACCATGGTGCAGCTCCTCTGTCACAGGCAGCATCACTGGTGAAGTCCTTACCTCTTTATCTTTGCACGCTCTAGTTTTATATCAACACAGTTTCCCTTGTAGCCACAGTTGATAAACTTTTCCTCAATTTCCAGCAGGGAATTGTCCAACTCCTTCAGTAAAACTAAGCACTCAGAGAATTCGCTGTCGGGTGAGTCCTGGATAATTTGGATCTGAAGGCTCACACACCTGCTGGACAGACAACTTTCAGGGGCTGCAAGGCCAGGGTTCCCATACAGACTCAAAAGCCTCAGACCATGGTGACACTTGCTGTCTGCAATGTCTGCCCAGTGATGTTGGATCAAACTTCTGGCCTTTTTCACAAACCAGAAATTTACAGCTATATTCTTTGATCACATGCAAAGTTAGAGACCAACAGACTCAACTCTCGGTATTAGATTCAAAGTGAAATTATAAAACACACCCTCAAATGGCCAGCAAGTGAATAAAAGAATACCCAGGCTGAAACAATGAGTTCTGTATGATCAAACCCAAAGGATAGTGCGGATGGGATGCAGAGGCACCTGCACCAGGACAGCCTTGGCCAGCTGCTCCAATGCAAAGCACCACACAAACAAGAAGCTCTGCTGCTGTGTACGATGAGCAGAAAGCCAGTTCTTGGGAAGGGTTGAGTAAGTTGGAGCACCAACATCCACCCTGAGGGGCCAGGCCTGAGAGGGCCTCCAGAGCTGTGGGAAAGGCACTGAGGAAACCAGAGCCAGAGTCAGCCCTGCAAAGCCAAGGAAGCTCCCCGTGCTCTGAGGTCCATGGCATCTTCTCCAAGCCATGCAGCCTGCACATCTGGATGCAGGTCTTCTCAAAAGGAAGCTGGAGGCTTTGCAGGGACTTCTGCTATCCCCTGGAGTTGGGAGAGGGGGTTGTGGCCCTGTTATGTCTGAGCCTCCTTGGGTGTGAAATACAACATTAACATGTAGGAAAGTGATCATGACTCTCACAGGAACGCGCAATGATACCTGGCTTCCAGATCTGTGGCGATGAATTCCAATATGGGCATTCGGTTAGGCCTTTCCTTCTGGAGGACTTTGAAGGCAACGATGAGTTTTTGAAATAGACAGCAAATCTGGAGATAACCGGGTTCAAAATTACTGTGGGCCCAGGGACAGAGGCCTCCCCACCGCTGTGTCCCCCTACTGAGCACCACATCTGATGTACTCCCACATACTCCTTACCACCTTTCTCCCCTCATCTTCTGTGGACAAGATCGCTTCTGCCAAAGTCAGGGTTGAATTGTACCAAAACTCCTCATTTCCACCCAGTTTCTGGGCTTTCTCGATCATTTTCTTAGCTTGTCCATGGTTGTTTTCCTTGTTGGCCAACTGTGCTAGAAGGAGCAGGCATTGGGATACTGCACAAGGATCATCAAGTTCCTAAAAGGATAGAAATGCATGCATATAGAGAGAGGGGAGAGAGAGAAAGAGAACACTTGTGGGCTGCCTTGGGCTCCAGGCCTTGGGACTTCTCCTGCAGCTGGAGAATAAGGCCTCATGTTTGCCCTTGAAAGAGAGATCTGTGTGTGTGTGTGTGTGTGTGTGTGTGTGTGTGTTATTGAAGGACACAGAACAAGCTTCATGAAGGGCCTGTTTCCCAGCCAGAAGTATCTCAGCTGTGTGCAGGTGAAAGGAGCTACCTTAGAGGTGATGAACTGGGAGGTTCCTCACCTGGAAAGCCAGGTGAGCCTCTGACAGGAGCAGCCGGGCTGGCTGGTACAGGTCCATCTCCAGCAAGACCTCTGCCTTGAGCATCCACAACTGGGGATAGGATGTGCCATCCAAGCCCTTCCCAGTCTCTCCATTTATCTTCAGAATCTGCAAGATACCACAGTCCTAAACTGCCACTGTTTATGTCTGCGTCCTATGTGACATGCTTTGGTGAAAAGGGGTCTTTCCCTCAGCACTGGGACTCAGAAAGCTTGTAGGCCTCTGCCCACTGGCAAACTCCATGCCTCCTGGACACCTGCCTCTCCTAACTTATTCCCTTACATCCACCTAAGTCCACCACTAGTTGCAGTGCAGGCACTGTCTCCCCTACTCCCTTCTCTGTGTAACTGACTAGAGTGGATGGGTCACCAGTGTAGCTCAGCAAGGTACATGACTGGCCCTGAGCCTCTTCGACTTAGGTTACTTGCTAAGGCCTGGTCCTGTTAGAGGAGGCCACACACTCTGATCCCCAAGTGCTTTCTTATTGCATCTCAAATGTAGACTTTGATGGGCTCATGAATGGGGCTCAAAGCCTGGCACTGTAAAGAATCAGGTTCTTGGTGTAAGAGCATGGTGGTTGGGAAGGCTCCTCTCTTTTGAGGCAAGGCTGGAAAGGTAACTGTGCTGGTCTAGAGGAGAGAACCAGTTGGTGGTAAGACAACAGGGGCCTTGAGAGGCCAGATCGGCCCATGAAGGGTGTCCAAGGAACATGTTCTGCTCCACAGGGAACTCCTCTTCTCTTACTCGCTGCCCAGGCCCCTCGCAGGCCTGTTCCATAGCAATCTGTGGTGAACATACATTTGATCTTCTCTGGGGATTTCTAAGACCCCAGGCAGGAACATACTTGATCAGTCTCTGGGTCTCCCATAAAACCTAAAACAAGGGGGCCGGGGATTTAGCTCAGTGGTTCTGGTGCCTGCCTTGCAAATGCAAGGTCCCGAGTTCAATCCCTGGTACCAAAACAAAAACAAAACAAAAAAGAACCTAACACAAGAGTGCATGCATTAAACACTTAACCAATAAATTCTGGCCTGCTGGCTTCCACTGCAATCCTATACAGCAGAAACATCTTGCTATGGAATCGATGACATAGCAAAATGGAGTTACCTTGTCTTGTGCTATAAGTGGCTTCACCTCAGCTGGGTGGGAAGGAGCCACTTGCTCATTTAGCCCTGTACAGCTGTCTTCTAATATAGGTTCCTTGTTTTTCTCTTTTTTCAGTGCAATCTCTTTTCTGCAGCTAATATAGGTAAAATAGACAATATGCAACAGATGAAACAAAATGAACAATAAAAATGGTCAATTTTATTAGTAATCAAAGAAATCCTAATTAAAGTAGCCGTAAGAAGCCATCATTTACACATATTTACAAAGTCTAAAGAAGTGCCCAGGAATTGCCAGAATTTACATCTGTAGTCTGTTCATTCTCTTTTTGGAACTATCTGACATCCTGACTTAGAAATTGAATATACCTTCAGACCCAATACCTTCAGACATGCCTCCCCTTGCCACCCATATAGAAAGGCAAGCTCCTCTGGGCTCAGGGCCACCACAGAGGCCCTGGGTGTGCTCCTGCTGCCCTGGGCCCTGCATTCTCCTGCCATACCACCCTAGCCCCCCTGACTCAAGTTATTTGCCACATCACGTCCACAGTGGTCCTTTAAAAATTAGGCCAATATCTCTCAAGGTCCACCCCATGCCTGCTCAATCTTTTAGCCTCTCTCCAGACCCCTCCTGTTAGGGACTTTTATACTTCCACTCTCTTTCTGCTGAACTCTCTCAGGTCCCACTGTGTGCCCACTCAGCTCAGGAATTCACTTAAAATACAATGAAAGCCACTGAAAAGAATTAACTACAACATGTTCCCTGTGTGCGCACATTCCTCAGTTGCTGCCCTGCAGGATCTCCAGGCACTAGGCTGAGGGTTCAGCTGCAGTTACGGGGCGGGGTGGGGGGGTCTGAGGCTGAGAGGGCACACACACGGTTAAGGGAAGGATGTGTCAGATGGCCCAAGGCCACCTGGAGGCCCTGGAATTTGTCCTCCCAGCCCTTCTCTTTGGGCAAACTTTAGTCTTAATTGTACCACGTTAGAGGGAGAGATCACACACCCAGGAGTAAGCTCTGTCCTCCTGCCCCCCAGTGTGGGAACTGAACACACCTGGCTTGCTCCATATCCCCGATGTACGTTGCCCCAACCACCTCTTCGTGGTGAGTGGCTGCGTCTCGCAACCTCAGATTGGAACACACCTGGGCAAGTCTGGGGAAAGGACCGATAAAGAGAAGGAATGCTGTTACAAAGGATGCCACCACTCAAAAAAGCAAGCTATACTGGATTGTGTGTGGTTTATAAGAGTGGATACATTAAAAAAGAAATATCCCTGAATGATGTTTTCAATAATTTAAAAAGATAAGCAAAATTGTGAAGGAAAAAATAACAGGTGGCTATCAGATTTTCAGTATAAATTTTTGACATCAATCATTCACAGATTTTATTCACTACATCATTTATAATCTCAATTGTCTTCAGAGGCAAAATACCACTCTTCTCAATTCAGGCACAGCTTCAGGCAGGAAGCTGTGCGTTGAGTCTTGTTTAAAACACTTTCATTTGACATGATTTTAGCATTATAGAAAAGTCACGCAGACAGCCCCAAGCAATCACCCACAGCCCCAGTGTGAGCCTTCCCCACATTCTCTTTATTGTCCTCTCTGCTTCACTTCCCCTCCTCCTGGACTCCTTGAAGGTAAATTGAATATAAAACATTCTTTTATCCCTAAATGCCTCATTGTATATTTCCTTAAAGCAAGGTCATTCTCTAAGGAACAGGTGGAAGTTTTAATATAAAAAGGCCATATTTTGCATTCAAGTATTTTCACTTTGACTTATAAATCTTAGGTGATTTATTATTTACACAAATAATTCCAAAATTAATATTTTAAAATGCAGTTTGCTTTTATAATGCTTTGGGCATATTTTCACTCTAGCCAACTTGAACATTTCCTTGGACATAAAGGAGTGTACCAACCGAAGGTGGTAGAGATCTTCAAGGCTCTTGCTTTCTACCACAGAGTTTGCAATGAGGGCACCCAGCTGCAGGACCGGGATGGTGAGCTCATGAAGGGACAGCTTCTGCAGGGCCTTGACCAAGTGGTCCAGGTAATATAAACTGTATGTCTACATAAACACACAGAAAATATGTAAGGTCACAGGCGGGCAGCAATGTTAGTTCTCCAGCTTTGGGCCAGCATAGTGTCTGGCACATAACAGGTGGTCAGCAAATGTTTGTGGGATGAAGGCACAGTGTGGACTTTCCCTTTTCTCTCTCCTTAGTAGGTTTCATTTTGTCACATGCAATAAGTGACCTGTAATCATCAGCACCAGAGTATAAACAGCCACACAAGAGACACATCCATTTATGCATTTATTCAATAAACATGTTTTTGTTTCATTTTTCCACTAAAAACTACTGATCAATCAAAAGTAGAGTGTTTTTTGTATACACATACAAAAAACTGAAAATTTCTTGTAATGTTGGACAAGGCTTGTCAAAACAATTACTCTTCAGTGGAAAATTAGAAAAGTTTGATAAATTATTTTTAAAATCTGGTTCTAAGAACTGGAGAGTGAACAATGCAAGGAAAAAGTACCGATCCAAGATCTAGAAGGTAACATATGCCAGAGAAGTGTACTGGCTCTTGACACACTGTAAAGGCCAGTGACTGAGAGGTTGGCTCCCAACCATGCTGCACACACAGGTGAAATTCTGGTGGACAGAAGATCGAAATCTGACATTATATATAAAGGTTGAAAGTATTTACATCTTTTGGAAAATACTTTAAGAGAATACCTGTGTAACCTCCAGAGAAGAAAATAGTTTTTCTTAAAAAAAAAAAGAAAAGAAGAAAGCACTAGTTGAAAAGGAAAAGATCACTTTTATTAGGTTACAACTATCATCTCTACTCATAAAAAGACTCATCATCTCTACTCATAAAAATCAAGAGAGAAGAAAGGCAAATCATAAAGCAGAAGTTAACCTGCTATTCATACGATTGTTAAAATGTTCTTTCCAAAATAGATCAAGAAGGAAAAGACAGAAAGCTTAGTGAAATATGGGTGATACACTGGACAGGGACTTTCACAAAAGAGGACATCTGAGTGGTCTGCGAGAAAGTGCTGAAAATCTGTTCAACCTCACTGCAATCAGGCAGTGCCTGCATAAGCCACTGAGAGATGCTGCTGCATGTACAAAATATGGGTCACATTGGCAAGGTAACCACCCCTAGGCTGGCAAGGTTGTGAGCAACAGGACTCTTACCACAGAGAAGGGAAAGGAAGCTGGCATAATTGTCCTGAAAGGCAATTTGGCAATCTGGAAATATTGACTATTTTTTGAAATTCCTGTACACTGTGGTCCAGAGATTCTACCAGTAGGTGTGTCTTCCAGACACTTGGCCACTGAGACATGTGTATACAGATGCTCATAGAAGCTTCATCTGTAAGAGCCATGAATTGGAATCAACCCAATCAATGTCCATTAACAGGTGAATGGCAGATAAGCTGTGGATGTGTACTGCAGCAGAATACTCTTCAGCAGTTAAAGAGAACAAGCTATTGTGTCACGAAGGAGCATGGGTGAGCCACACAGACATTACAGAGTGAATGAAGCTGAACTAAAAGGTAGTATGCTGAATGATTGCATTCCTATAAAGTTCTAAACCAGGCAGAACATACTGAGCTGATCCTAAAGACACTGGGTCCTACTCCTTGGAGTCTTGCTTTGCATGGCAGAAAAAGACTGTGCAGATATAACCAAGATGAGAATCTCTTCAGGTATGCCCTAAGTGTAACCCATTAATCTTTTTTTTTTTGGTATTGGGGATCAAACTTGGGACCTTGCGCTTGTGAGGCAGGCAGCAGAACCACTGAGCTAAATCCCCAGCACCCCGTGAATCTTTATAAGAGGGGATTTGACAGAGGAGAGAGGCCTTGTAACCATAAAGTCTGAGATGGGGGAATCTCCCCCTGCTGACTCCATGATTTCAGTGGTTTTAGCCTCCCACTTTATGGGGACTTGTTTAGCAGAAATAGGACTCCAATGCAGACATAGTACCAGGTTTAGGTATGTGTACCTGGGTGGTGAATGCAGGTGGAGGGAGGTTTCCCATGGATGTTGGCAGTTGTTGGGACAGAGGGTGTCTTGACTGATAGCCAACAGTGGTCTCTGTTCCCTGAACTGGAGGTGAGAGACAGGTGTCCCCTTTCAACAATTCACTAGAGAACCCCCCTCTTTCTGGTTACATTTGCAATAGAAACCCCAAATGGAGGAGACAGTGCTGGGAAGATGAACTGTCCCATTGCTTCCTCCTATCCACTTACTGGCTTCTGGATACTGGTAGAGTTCACAGTGAGGTCACTTTTGTCCTGCTTGAATATAGACAGTAGTTCCTTAGGGCAAGAGTAGGAGGCCCATTCTTCTATGCTGGTTGGTAAATCTTCAAGCTGTTTGCTGGAAGCTGGGGTCTGAGACTGTAGGAGAGAATGGAGGGTTTACTTTTAAAATGGAGTTCAGAGATGGATGCCTCAGTGGCCCAGCTGTGCAGTGGACAGTGACCTCGTGAAAACAGTGCTCCTTCAGCACAGCCTTGGGGATGGTGACTGTAGAGTGCTGCACACCAGCTCTCTCCCTGGAGCCCCATGGCACACATCCTTTCTTTACATAACTGCCTTCCCTGTATCCAACCCTGATGGGTGCCACACCAGAGATACATTTGATTTTATGTTCTCAATGCAGCTTCTAACCTCACTTCCAAGAGGTACAAACCATGTCCCTCAGCACTCAGAACCCAGCACTCAGGCTCTGCAGACCTACAGGAGTGGGAATGGGTACTTGACCTCATCCCAGAGTCCAGCAAGCCAGCAGCTATGAGGTTTCTCAGCCCAGCTTCGACAGTGGGGAAGCCAATATTTTTAGGGTGAAATGTATCCCATGGGTTTATACAGGTTCCCATGTGTGAAGAGGCCAGGACCCTAGGACCCCAATAGACTTTGTGTTGCCCACAACCGCTGAGTCAGCAGATGGGTTGCATGTTTGTGCAAAGGCTGTGGTAGAGGGCTCACTCCAGGCACGGGGTGGGTAGGTTACTGCAAAATCATGCAGGGAGTGAATTCATAACCCTCATTTTACACAAGAGGAAACTGAAGGACAGAGATTATCAGGCCTGTGAGCCTGATCCATGGCCCTCACCCTCTGCCTTCCATCTCTTTGAGTATGCAACATCACCTGCTTCGCATTGTTACCCTTTTCCCTCACCTTCTCCTCTTTTCCTTTCTCCTTCCCTTTCTCCTTTTCCTTCAGCTTCTCATCCTTTTCCTTTGTCTTCTCCTTTCCTTTTTCTTTGTCCTTTTCTTTACTTTTCTCCTTCTCTTTTTTAAACAATGACAGTTGTGAACTGGCTGCTGCTAGAATTCTTTCTGAAATTAATTTTCTTCCTGTTAACAAAGAAACCTGGGGAAACATGAAATCCATGTTGGCAGCATTAAAAACAGACCCAGTGTCCACCTCCTGCCATACCTGGTTGGAAGGGAGTACCTGGAGCTGATGGTATTGCTCAGCCCTGGTCGTGGCTGGTAAGCACCCCATGCAGAGCAGAGTTAACCCCCACCAGAGGCTCAGTACCTTGTGGCTGCGAAGCCCTTGCCCACATGAGGACATAGGCTGCACTCCCCACTGGGGACACAGCTGGATGTCCTCAGCATGGAGGTTTCCTGTGGGCAAACTTATGACATTCTCTATGGACCTCTTCCTGGGGACCAGGCCTGGGCAGGGGTAATGGTGGCTTCCCTGTAGAACTCTTGATGGGCAGGGGCTGCAGGACATGGTAGGCCTTGGGTTGAACCAATGCAACTCTGGATGAGGTATCATGAGGGGTAGGGATAGTTGGTCCTCAAAGAGGACATGTCCCTCTGTAAATGACTTAGCTATGGTCTCTAGTGAAAAATGCATGGTGGAAGGGGCCTTTTTGGAGGCTGGGCCTGAACACTGGGGAAATGGGGTAAACTCATTTCTTCTCAGAGATGAGGGGCACCCCATTGTTCCTCAACACCAAACTGGGGGCTGTTTGAAAACGCCTGCCCTGATGGGCACTGCTTCTGGGGCGCATGGGTGACCAAGTACCCCACAGGGAGAGTTGAGGGAGAAGGGACTACAAGGTAGCCCTGCATGGGTGGAGGTGAGGGGCAAAAGGTCCTGAAAGCCTGAGAGCTTGCAGGCTGTGAGAGGATAGGAAGACTTGAGCTGAGGCAGTGAGAACTGTGGCGGTTTTGGGTGGTGGCTGGGCAGGATGCTAGGTAGAATTTGGAGAGCAGGAGGGCCTGATTTGGAGGACACAGTGATTTGCTTCCTTTGAGGAGCTCCAAGAACATGGTGTGTGGCATGGTCAGGAGAAATGTAGATGGGACAATTAGGCAGGCAGGAAGAATGTGGACATCACAGGTCTGATATGTGCTTATCTCAGGGGTCTTTAGAAAATTTTGGGGAAGCCTTTGATTTATTTTAAAAATACTGTTGCTATTTTCCAAAGAAAATAGAAAATGTGAGTCCCACAGATTCTGGTCCCAGGAAGGAGAGAGGGGGGCAGCAGTGCCTTCCAGGGAGCAGCTCGGCACCTCAGCTGGCTCACCTGCCAGATGCGCCTGAGAAATGTGTAGGCCATGAGGCAGTCATCCTCGTAGGCAGAAGAGCTGGGGGACACCATCAGGGCACGTAGGATGTGTGCCCGGGCCAGGGTTTCCAATTGTTTCACATTTTGTAACTGCTCCAAGGAGAATGTGTCCACATCCTGGGTCACAGGCCCTTCCGCAGGTATCTGAACAGGTGAGTACTCCCCTATACAACAGGATTGCCCACCGGTCAGGACAGGCTGGACTCATCACCTAGGGACCAGGTCATCCTTCTCTTGCCTGGTGATTTGTCTGTGTCAATCCCCAGCCACCTGTCCCCCCAGGCCCTCCTGATCCTGCCATACTCCATGTTCTCTGCCTGTCCTGAGCTGGTCTCTCCCAGCAGACACCATCCAAGCAGGGGGCTCATCTGAGCAGTTCCCCCATGTCTTCCAGGCCTTGAAAGACAAGAGGTCCATCTTCTGGGAAGCAGAAGGCTGCTGGCCCTAGGCCTGGTGGGTGGGGTGCCCAGCTGGTGTCCTTTGCCCCTGTGGCCTCGGACTAGCTGAAGTGATGAGCCATGAGCTGTTGCTGTGGTTTTTGTGTGGGTGGTTTGTGTTGGGCTTCTGGGGCCCTTACTCTTGCCTAGATGTGCGGGCTGGATGCTGAGTGGATGGTCTATGTGCTTCTCTGGCACATATTGGGGCTGATATTGTCCCTGGGCCTTGCCCCTTCCTCTACCTGACTTCTACAAGCCCAGATTAGAGGTGCTTTGGCACCCGAAGAGCACGTCCATGGACCCTGTCCTGAGGTCTGTGTCATCACACCCTGCTGCATGAAGCCCAGACCCTTGGGGCTTGTCTGTCCTTCTTGGTGAGACTGCTATCTTGAGAAACTATAGCTCTACATCCCTGGTCAAGCCTGAGGTCTGCCATGCTTTGATTCTTCCCAGAGCTGCTCAGGTGCCCCCAGACTGACTCCAGAGGGCCTTGGGATCTGCTCCTAAGGCAGGGCATCTTGGTCCCTGCAGCAATGGCTCCCTTTCCTGTCCAAACCCATATACCTGACCACTTCCCTGAGGGCCTGGGGACTCTGAGAATGACCTTCTGTCCATCCCGACAGCAGGCTCAGGCCCACTGACTACTGGGACAGTGGCCCTGATGAGACCTGCATTGTCCAGTACTCCTGGGAGACTCTACAGTCTCTGGGGGCCACAGCCCTTCCCCTCACCAGGGCCAAGTGATGCAGGGGTGACCTGTGGGACTCCCTGGGAGTGTCCACATTCCTCACAGGGCATTCTGTCTCCTGGTGCCGAGGCTCCCTATGTCTGCCCCAGGTTCCTCACCAAAAAACCTCTCACGCCTCACATGTGACCATGGATAGGGCCCTGTTAGTCTGAAGCCTTGTGAGGAGACCTTGAAGTGGGTCTGTGCTGATGGGTGGGAACGGGACACCTGTTCCTGTAACCCTCAAGGAAGGTAGCCTCTAGGCCAGTGGCTGTGCTGAGTGGATTGCTCCTCACACTTCCCAGTTAACTTGACCTGAGCCTGCCTGTGAATATAATCAGGTAGTGGTGAGGCCAGTTTGCTTCCTGCCCTAGGTACTGTGGAGGTGGGGCAGGGCCTGCCTCCCAAGTTCAAACAGAGCTTCTCCAGTTCATCATGTCACTGGGAACATGCTTTGTTGTTTACAGCAACAGCAAATTCCTTGAGCACAGACTAGGTGTGGCCACACCAGGACAACAACCACTCTGCAAAGTGAAGGGTCCAGGGGAAGCATCCTTACCTTCTGATGCAGGCTCCAGCTTGGGGATATCCCCTGAGAGTTTCATGGTCAGCAGGATCTCAATTGCCCATGTGAGTTGGGAGACCACATCTTCAAGAGGAAACTGCTTGTGGTACAGCCACTCACTGAACTCCATGATGTAGTCAACCTTTTGCCACTCACTCTCAGGTTTCTTTGGGACAAGACGGAAAAACATGATAAAGGGTCTTCCCTGAAGGAACTTGCACTGAGGAAGTGATCTATAGTATGAACTATTCTGCCAGGCCATAGCATCATGTAGTAATATTGGAGAACACTTCTAAGGAGACTGGTTTTGTTATCAAGGCTCTTAGAGGTCTCCAATTGTAGATGAAGGTGTGGTAGGAAGTCCTCCATCCCTTCATTCCCTTTACAGGCACCTGGCACCCACAGTCTCTGCTTCTTCGTGCCCCCAAACTTCCCACAGTGTCTCTTATACCACAGAAGATGCAGTGCTGGGCTCTAACAGAGCAGCCTTGTGTGTGTGAGGCCTTGCCTGGATGGTTCAGGAGTTAGACTTGTCTCCCAAGGGAGAAAGGATAAGGAAGAGGCAGCCCAAGTCCTGATACAGCACATATTCAGCCCATGGCAAGAGGCATGGTCCCAGCTCTGAGCCTGGTGCTAACAAATGGTACACTGACTCCCTTGCACACTACCTTCCTTCCCAGGTCTCTTCCTGGGCTGAGACACTGCACCTGGTATAACTCCCAAGAGGCAAGTCACAGCCCTCTCTGTACACTTGCCTGTGTGTATGTATTCAATCCACAAACACCTGTGGGAGGCAAATCTGTGCCAGGATTCTCCCTTGTGGGGCTCAGAGTATGAGCACAGAACAGAAAGACCAAGTGTTGTGGGCTGAGTGGTGATCCCTGACAGCAATTAGAAATGAGTGAGGTCCCAGGGCATCTAGGGGAGAGAGCACCTAGGTGTGGGCCTAGATGTGAGCCTCCCTGTGGGAGGACCATGACTGAAGTTCAGTGGGGGTGGGCTGGGAGCCTTCAAGTCAGGCTACCATGTGCAGGCTCAAGAGTGCAGAGGGGTTGGCTCTGTCATGTCCTCCACTGCACAGTGCCAGGAAGGCTAGTTAGAGGCCATGGCACCTATGGAATGCTGGGGGCAGGGACCAGGGTGGCAAGTAGTGGTGTATCCTGGGTATATTTGAGGGTGGAGCTGATGACAGTGTGTGATGGGGAGATATGGGGTGTTAGTGTGGGTTGGAGTGTGAGAGGTGAGTCCAATAAGTAGGGAAAGAGCTGCCCTCACCTGGGAAGGAGAATGACAATGGGGAAAGCAAGGAGTTGGATCTGGGTTTGAAATGTGGTCAGCTGAAGGGCCAAACAAGTGGCAGATGTACAATTCTAGAGGGATGCCTGGGTTGGAGACTCACTGTAGGGAGAACTAGAGTGGTCCTGGCTTGTAGCTAAGGACACTAGGACAGATCACCAAGGATGTGAAGGTCCAGAGAAGGGGTGAGGTCCTAGCCATAGCCCAGGCCCTCCTCCCTTAAGAAGAGGACAGTAAGAGGTTTGAGCCAGCCAGGGAGTGGTGCCTGAAGCCACTGAAGAAGGGAGGGAAGTACACCCCTATGAGGCCCAGAAGCAAATAGGAATGCTGTTAGTGGCTTTAAAGAAAACTGCAACTGTGGGAAGGGGCAGAGCTTTGATGGAAGGGTTAGGAGAGAACAGATAATCCTTTCAACATGTATTGCTGGGCAACTAAGGTATTCACATGCTAAAGAATGAAGCTGGATCCCTGTTTCACACTATATACACAAACTCAGAATGGATCAATTACCTGAATGTAAGGAGCTACAACTGTAAAACTCTTAAAAGAAAACATAGGATATATGTTCATGACCTTGAGTCACATGTATTTTCTCAGATTGAATACCATAAACAGACTGCCCCCAGTGCCAAGGAGCAGAGGCGCTCCCACCACTGATGAGGTGAGCTCTGGGGGCACCAGCAACAAGCACACACACACACACACACACACACACACACACACACACACACACACCCCCTACTCCATGGTTGAAATGAGAAGACACATAAACAAGTCTCAAAACCAGACTTACAGATCACCTAAAGCAACCCCAAAGGGAAATGAGATAGAACAATCTGATACTCAACCACATGGATTCCCTGAATGGACAACAAAAGAGGATCTGGAAAAAATGAAATTAGAAATAATTTCTCAGATAACAGCAGAGATTGTGCC